TTTCTGTCCTTTATTATGCACATCTTTGGGCAAAATATTCCCTTGATATTTCCAATTTTCCTGAAGATATCGCTAGTGTTTCCCCTTCAACTCTGATCAGCAAATTATTTTATCTGGCCCAGCTCTTAGGGCTTATTTTGCCTTCTAGTCTGGTGCATGTCTTACAGATCAAAGCTCTTGCAGATTAAAGTTCTTAACTAGGTTGCCCTTGACCTCATGAACAAAAAAGTTTCATAAGCAATTGTACAAGTGGTGGAAGTGGAATGGAGACGAATAGATCGGTTTGAGAATTCTTGCCGGATATACCTGCAGGACTTTATGGTAACTGACTATATATAGAGGATGAAGGGCCGGGGACTGAACTCTCGTGACACAAGGAAATGATTGTTACCATCATGAAGTGAAGTTGAAAGGAAGTTGGTTAGCGTGAAGGGAGTCCATATCCAGATATACCATATTTGAGGTGATCTGCTGGCGTGCTTCGATTTATGGGGTCTCAAAGAGTTGGACATGACTGAGCGACTGAACTGAACGTAACTGAACTGATGTCCAAGTAACTCTGCCCTCTAGACAAGAGGGGGCATGAGCCTCGGTGAGAAAGCATCAGGATAAGAATTGCTTTGAAATCATTAAGCAAGGGCTAGGGTAACAAGGTCATGTTCCTTGGGTGTGGTAAGAAGAGTAGGGAGTCCTAAGGGGGAGTGGAGACCAGGAGCTCAGAAGTAGGAGGCCCAGAATAGCATAATACCTGGACAGAGTTCAAAGGACGTGGTTCATGAAGTAGCGAGCAAGCCACCGTGTCTAATGCGGCATGCATGTGGGCACGCTAGGTTGCTTCAGTCATGTCCAACTCTGCGACTCTATGCACCGTAGCCGTCCAGGCCCCTCTGTTCCTGGGATCCTCCAGGCAAGAATACTGGAGCAGGTCTCTGTGCCCTCCTCCAGGGGATCTTCCCGACCCAGGGATTGAACCCATGTCTATTACGTCTCCTGCATTGGCAGGTGGATTCTTTACCACTAGTGCCACCTTTACCATTAGTCCCTAATGAAGTATAGACGTTTCATGAAACAAAAGAAAACTGATCCCTGAATGTGGCAACACTGGAGGAAGAGTGCAAACGGTAAGGTAAGGAAGCCACATTTCAACAATTAAAGAAACCCTTTATCTGGGTCAGATGGAAGTGACCAGGATAAATTCAAGTTTCACAATGAAGAGATGGGCTCGACCTATGTGAGGTACTCGGTATATTTTTTTATGCTGTAGGAGTGTTATGTTTTATTTGATCTGCTTCACAGATACTGTCTTTTGGAAAAGTAATTACACTAAATCGAGAGTTCAATTGAACTTCCAGATTAATGCCAAAGTAGTTCAGAAATATAATGAGGTTATTTTAGAGAATACTTTTATTGAACAATATTATTCAGCACTCTATAATTAACTAAAAAATAAAAACCAAGAAGAATCTGTCTGCAATCTTGTTAACTTTTATCCTCTACAGCAAGAATATCACATGGTACATTTGAAAAGGACAAAAACAGTCATGTTGTGTCACTGTTGTATGCATATTATTATGCTTCATGAAAATAAAGAAATATATTTTCACAAAGTTAGAAATTTTTGCTATGATTTTCAACTGCTATCCTCTGAATGGCACCTTCATAGACTTTCATAATGCACATGCACAAAAATAATAAATACGTGTATGATTCTCAGTATTCATGTTGAAAAATGTTATAATCAGCATGAGGTATGTTACAAGTAATTTACTATTAAGAAAAGTTAAAAAACAATTTACAATCACAGCTGACCTCTTTGCAGAAATTGACAAACTTTTCTTAAAATTTATATGGAAATTCAAGGGACTAAGAATAACCAAACAATCCAAAGCAGTATTGAAGAAGAACAAATTCAAAGGACTCAAGCCTCCCAATTTCAAGACAGTGCTACACTAATCAAGACAGTGTGGTTCCGGCATAAGGATAGAAAGACAGATCGGTGGAATAAAACTGGGATTCATAAATAAACCCTTACATTTCATGAACAGCTGATTTTTAACAAAGGTGCCAAGACAATTCAATTGGAAAAGAATAATTTTTCAACAAATAGTGCAGGGACAGCAGGATATCCACATACTACAGAGTGAATTTGGACTTATACCTCACACCATATGCAAAAATTAACTTAAAATGAATAAAAACTTAAATCCAAACAGTAAAAGTATAAAACTCTTAGAAGAAAACATAGGGATAGATTATGATTTTTGATTAGGCAATTGCTTCTTAAATATGAAACTAAAAGCAGCAGCTGAAGGAAAAATAGGTTAATTACACTTAATCTAAATTAAAAATTTTTGCGTTTCAAAGTACACCCACTGGAAAAGTGAAAGGCAATATACATAATGGGAGAAGATTTTGCAAATCTTATCTCTTGGATAAAAGACTAAAATCCAAGGACTTCCCTGGTGGTCTCGTTGTTAAGACTCCTTGTTCTCAATGCAGGAGACCTGGATTCAATCCTTGGTCAGGGAACTAAGATCCCACATGCTGCATAGGGTAGTCCCTCCACAGGGTAGTCCAGAAACACTCTGAGGAGCAAACCTCAATGCGGAGTGAGAATCGGTAAAAACAAAATGAACAAACCCTAGCTTTCCATCCTTAAGAAGGACAATCCTGAGGCCCATTTTGTGTAGCTTTTTAGAGGGTTCGGAGAGGGATTGAATTCCAATTGCCTATGCAATAACTCACTTAATAACACATCTTTTATCAGGAGTTTGTCTCATTTGTTTAAAAACGTATTTATTTTTAATTGAAGGATAATTGCTTTACAGTACTGCATTGGTTTCTACTAAACATCACCAGGAATCAGCCATAGATTTTCCCCTGTCCCCTTCCACTTGAACATCCCTCCCCATCCCACTCCTCCAGGCTGTTACCAAACCACGGTTTGAGTTCCCTGAGTCATGCAGCAAATTCCCATTGGCTATCTCTTTCACGTTTGGCAAGGTATATTTCCCCGTTACTCTCTTCATACCTCCCATTATCAGCAGTTTTTCTATGTCTCATTCACTTTATTCTCTCCCTCCTGCTGACCTCCTAAACTTAAGCCCTTGTTTCAAACTTTCCTTTGTGAGAAATTTAAATGAATAATTGTTTAAAAGTATGTATATAAGATTATATGTTGTATTTAGTTTTATTTTGCACACAAAAATATACATACATATTCCTGCTAAGAAAGAACAGAAGACAACTTCAGGTGCCCAGCTAACTAAATTAACTTTCATACATGTTATGTGTGATAGAATGTAAAAATCTCTGGGGACCCTGGCACTAAGACTTGAGTTAAAAGTTTGACTATAACTGGAAACACTAATGTGTGGATCATCCAGATTGCTTCACGGAAACAGATTCCTCCAGTCTTTCCCACTACCATGGCAGGTACCAACAGTGTGACATTTTTTGTTTTTCTCTGTCAAATAAAATCTTATCGCAAGAGGAGGGATAAGTTCAGTGTCAATCATTCTTCATGATTCTTCTTGTCTGTCTTTGGATTTTATCCAGATTCCAGAGCTTACTGAGTTGCAAGGTAAACAAGACAGAGACCTCTAGCCTTCAGTCTAGTGTGATCACTACCAGAGACAGCCTCAGTCCATGAGTTCTGCCATGAGATCATTTTTCATTAGACTTCATATTATGCAAAAGTAGACGGTTTAGTTGCGAAGACTCAGCCACAGGGAACTTTGCCACAGATCACCAAGCCAAGGTACAGAGAGTTCTGCCATGGCTTAGCGCAGCTACCTGTATGTTTCCAGTGCACTATATTTGGATTGTTCTGATTTCTCTAAGGCAGCTATTACTTCCATACTTCTACTGGCCTTTTCCTACTTTTTGCTAATCTACCTCTCCAGGGACACAGGCTTTTAATTCTTCCAATACTTGAAAAACACCCAGGCTTTCTTTTCCCACTACTTTCTTTAATAATGGACTTAACCATGCATTAAGAAGCTCTAGATATTTTTTAAAAATATTTATTTACTTGGCTGTGCTGTGTCTTAGTTGTGGCATGTGAACTCCTAGTTGTGGCATGTGAGAACTAGTTCCCTGACCAGGGATCAAACCTGGGCCCCTGCACTAGGATCATGAAGTCTTAGCCACTGGACCACCACAGAAGTCCCAAAGTTCTAGATATTTTAAACAATGAGAACAAAACTTCAACATCATCAAAAAGAATTTTCGAGGGATATGACACTCCCAGTTTTTAGAAAAGTGATAGTCTGTCAGGGATATGCAGCATGTTGCTTCTAAGCAGCAGAAAATAATACTATTGAGTGTTTGTATCCAACCTCATTCCATTTAATTCTTAGTAACTCAGCTGGGTGGACATTTGTCTTGGTTAAGGGGCATTGGTGGTGTTTCCTGGTTAATCCAGAGATTAACTGGTCTTTCTTAGCAGGAGAAAAATGTCATGAAGGGTAATAACCAAATGACATGAGCATATATGCATATTACCAAACTCTGAGAAGTTTGGTGAAATAATTTAGAACCCTGGTGAGACAATCTAAGAAATTCTCATGACATATTTGATGTTAGTGTTTTGGTGGGATAAAATGTCTCCTATTTCTATTCCTTAGAATGCCAAAGGAAAGATATCATGAGTCTGGGCCCTGCCTTCAGCTCATCTAGTAAGTCAAGGACAAGCAAAAGTTGAGAACATACAGCATATGGATGATGCTAGGGGAGGTATTCTAGTCAAGCCCCAGCAGAAAAGGTTAAGATAAAACTATAGCTCATCACAGGATCATACCTCATTAGACACAGAGATATCTCTGTCTCAATAGAGAGAAAATGTTGCTGAACCTTTTTGGAGTAAGCTTCAAGAGCATCACTTTTTTGAGGGGTGATGTTCTTTCTTTTTTGCCACCCTCCCAGTCCTACCAGGTAGAAGAGTCAGAATTAAACCTGTCATTGGAGTTTATTAATTTTGTTAAGCAGAGGAGCCAGGGATGACTGGGAGAAGGAAGAGGATAAATGAGAGAACTGCCATATCGGGAAGTGGCAAGGTTGGTGCTAGTAGTTTAAGCGTGAGTGAGTCCAAGAAAGTGCACAACTATGTCCCTCGGCCAGCAGAGCCCTGCTGTGGGCACGAGTAGGCTTGGAGAACTATACCTGCACCTCCTGAGCTGATGGTGAAGATGAATCTTCCAAGAGAGGAATGAATAGAACAAAATCAGGAAAAGTCAAGCTGAGGCTGCTGACAATTGATGTGACCCTGCTGGGATTGGTTGTTATGGGGAAAGTAGACACGTAGTGTGGAGAGGCCGAATTCTACTAACATTATCCTCTGAGACACGCACAGCTTTCAGGGAGACCCTTTTTATTTTCTTGACCTTATCTTGCTAAATGGTTTCATGACCAACTATTAATGTTGCAATTAACTTCTTTATTTAATTTTTAAACTTTTATAGGCTATGTTTTTTGTCAAAAAAGAATAAAATTATAGATGGAAAAACAAATTTATAAATACTTGTAATAGCTCCTCAGATTTAACCACCATTGGTTACATATGGCATCTAAAGTTTTTTGTATACAGATACAGACATCTTTGTTCAGTTCAATTCAGTTCAGTTCAGTTCAGTCACTCAGTCGTGTCCGACTCTTTGTGACCCCATGAACCGCAGCACGCCAGGCCTCCCTGTCCATCACCAACTCCCAGAGTTTACCCAAACCCATGTCCATCGAGTCGGTGAAGCTATCCAGCCATCTCATACTCTATGGTCCCCTTCACCTCCTGCCCTCAATCTTTCCCAGGATCAGGGTCTTTTTAAATGAGTCAGCTCTTCCCATCAGGTAGCCAAAGTATTGGAGTCTTAGCTTCAGCATCAGTCCTTCCAATGAACACCCAGGACTTATCTCCTTTAGGATGGACTGGTTGGATCTCCTTGTAGTCCAAGGGACTCTCAAGAGTCTTCTCCAACACCATAGTTCAAAAGCATCAATTCTTCGACACTCAGCTTTCTTTATAGTCCAACTTTACATCCATACATGACTACTGGAAAAACCATAGCCTTGACTAGATGGACCTTTGTTGGCAAAGTAATGTCTCTGCTTTTTAATAGGCTATCTAGGTTGGTCATAACTTTCCTTCCAAGGGGTAAGCGTCTTTTAATTTCATGGCTGCACTCACCATCTGCAGTGATTTTGGAGTCCCAAAAAAATAAAGTCTGTCACTGTTTCCACTGTTTCCCCATCTATTTGCCATGAAGTGATGGGACCAGATGCCATGATCTTAGTTTTCTGAATGTTGAGCTTTAAGCCAACTTTTTCACTCTCCTCTTTCACTTTCATCAAGAAGCTCTTTAGTTCTTCACTTTCTTCCATAATGTTGGTGTCGTCTGTATATCTGAGGTTATTGATATTTCTCCTGGCAATCCTGATTCCAGCTTGTGCTTCCTCCAGCCCAGCATTTCTCATGATGTACTCTGCATATAATTTAAATAAGCAGGGTGACAATATACAGCCTTGACATACTCCTTTTCCTATTTGGAACCAGTCTGTTGTTCCATGTCCAGTTTTAATTGATGCTTCCTGACCTGCATACAGGTTTCTCAAGAGGCAGGTGAGGTGGTCTGGTATTCTCATCTCTTTCAGAATTTTCCACAGTTTATTGTGATCCATACAGTCAAAGGCTTTGGCATAGTCAATAAAGCAGAAATAGATGCTTTTCTGGAACTCTCTTGCTTTTTTGATGATCCTGAGGATGTTGGCAATTTGATCTCTGGTTCCTCTGCCTTTTCTAAAACCAGCTTGAACACCTGGCAGTTCATGGTTCATGTATTGCTGAAGCCTGACTTGGAGAATTTTAAGCATTACTTTACTAGCGTGTGAGATGAGTACAATTGTGTGGTAGTTTGAGCATTCTTTGGCATTGCCTTTCTTTAGGATTGGAATGAAAACTGACCTTTTCCAGTCCTGTGGCCACTGCTGAGTTTTCCAAATTTGCTGGCATATTGAGTGCAGCACTCTCACAGCATCATCTTTCAGGATTTGAAAGAGCTCAACTGGAATTCCATCATCTCCACTAGCTTTGTTCATAGTGATACTTCCTAAGGCCCACTTGACTTCACATTCCAAGATGTCTGGCTCTAGGTGAATGATCACACCATTGTGATTATCTGGGTCATGAATATCTTTTCGGTACAGTCCTTTGTATTCTTGCCACTTCTTCTTTATATCTTCTGCTTCTGTTGGGTCCATACCATTTCTGTCCTTTATTGAGCCCATCTTTGCCTGAAATATTCCCTTGGTATCTCTAATTTTCTTGAAGAGATCTCTAGTCTTTCCTGTTCTATTGTTTTCCTCTATTTCTTTGCACTGATCACTGAGGAAGGCTTTCTTATCTCTCCTGGCTATTCTTTGGAACTCTGCATTCAAATGGGTATATCTTTCCTTTTCTCCTTTGCTTTTGGCTTCCCTTCTTTTCACAGCTATTTGTAAGGCCTCCTCAGACAGCCATTTTGCTTTCTTGCATTTCTTTTTCTTGGGGATGGTCTTGATTCCTATCTCCTGTACAATGTCACGAAACTCCGTCCATAGTTCTATCAGATCTAGGCCCTTAAATCTATTTCTCACTTCCACTGTATAGTCATAAGGGATTTGATTTAGGTCATACCTGAATGGTCTAGTGGTTTTCCCCACTTTCTTCAATTTCAGTCTGAATTTGGCAATAAGGAGTTCATGATCTGAGCCACAGTCAGCTCCGGGTCTTGTTTTTGCTGATAGAGCTTCTCCATCTTTGGCTGCAAAGAATATAATCAACCTGATTTTGGTGTTGACCATCTGGTGATGTACATGTGTAGAATCTTCTCTTGTGTTGTTGGAAAGAGGGTGTTTGTTATGACCAGTGCGTTCTCTTGGCACAACTCTATTAGCCTTTGCCCTGCTTCATTCCGTACTCCAAGGCCAAATTTGCCTGTTACTCCAGGTGTTTCTTGACTTCCTCCTTTTGCATTCCAGTCCCCTATAATGAAAAGGACATCTTTTTTGGGTGTTAGTTCTAGAAGGTCTTGTAGGTCTTCATAGAACTATTCAACTTCAGTTTCTTCAACGTTATTGGTCAGGGCATAGACTTGGATTACAATGATATTGAATGTTTGCCTTGGAAATGAAGAGAGATCATTCTGTCAGTTTTGAGATTGCATCCAAGTATCTTTGTAGAGGTAATTTAAAAAAAATGGGCTCAAACAGCATGTACTATTTTGTGACTTGCTATCCTGAACAACTCGGTAAAAAACAAGTAAATAAATAATGGTTTACTGTAGTTATAGCTAAGTCTCCCCAGCTGTTTGAAATACATCAGAGACTTCCTTGGTCTGCGTTCTTCAAAAGATCCCAAAGACTTGGGTGGATCTGAAGTTTTGTGAGGTCAGTTCTGAAACAGAGACAGCAGGAAGAGAGACATCTCCTTTCTCTTCCCCACAATCTCCCCCACCTCTTAGCCTTTAAGAACTGAGACATGAAGCTAACCTCACAGCACTATTCCAGAATGACTATGCCTCCCTCAAAGTCCCAGACCATGAGCTTAAGAGAATGACTAAGAACAGAGGAGCCATCAGAAAAGGCCAATTCTACTCTGGTTTCACTTCTCAAAGTCTTCCTGACTATTCAAACACTGCTTCCATTAACCTATTTCGTTTTTATAATGTACAGCCCGATTCTCTTGGCTGAGTCTCCCTTCTGTCACAAATTGTGTGACACACCAGGGCAAATTACCTACTATCTCTTTTCCCCAGTTTTCATAATCTGAAAAATAAGAGTGAGTTTACGGCAACTTACCTCACTAAGTTGTGAGATGTAAATGATTTTTTACACATAAAGTGCTTAGGACAGGGTCTGACCCATGGTGGACCATTAGTAATTTTCTCTCACTTAGTGAGGGTTCCTCCTTCAAACATCCAATCTCCTTATCCCCTTAGCCTCTGTCTCATCCGATCTCCTCCTTGAAAAGCTCCAGTGTAAAAGCTGAGAGGCATTTGCAATACCGCAAACCTTAACCTGAAATGATGAAACTATAGTTGCAAGTTGTGTTAACATTGGCAACATGTCTCTACACGATGATTCTCAAAGGTCAGTAAGTAGAAGGGTGCTCATGTTCATAAATAGTAACTCAAACCTCTATATTATTAAAATATTAAAATCCATAAAGAATATTCCTGAGGGTCAGATTGTACTACAGCCCATGGAAGTGAAGGCTGCTTATTCTTTCCGACCCCTATGTAGGCTACATGTGTGCTCAGTTGTATCTGATTCTTTGCAACCCCGTGAACTGTAGCCTGACAGACTCCTCTGTCCATGGAATTTTCCAGGTAAAAAGAGTGGAGTGGGTTGCTGTTTCCTACTCCAGGGAATCTTCCCAACCCAGGGATCAAAACTGCATCTCTTGTGTATCTGCATTGGCAGGGGGATTCTTTACACCTGCACCACCTGGGAGAAGTTCTAGTCTCTAAGTTTTGCCTGACTCTTTGCAACTCCATGGACTATAGCTTGCCAGTCTCCTCTGTCCGCAATTCTCCAGGCAAGAATAGTGGAGTGGGTAGCCATTCCCTTCTCCAGGGGATCTTCCCAATCCAGAGGTTGAACCCAGGTCTCCTGCATTGCAGATTCTTTACCATTCTTTCACAGGCTTCTTTTACAACCCTGTGTAGTTCTGTATATTAGGTGAGGTCAGAAGCCTCTTTTTCCTTTGCTTCTTAGTGTTGCTTTTTCACACTTACTCTTCTATCCACTTGTAAAAATCTTTGCTTTTTCATAGTTCATGCCACTCAGCTTTATCACCTTCTAGTCTTCCTTGTGCCTATGGTCATCTCTTGACATCCTAGATTCTACCTCTCAGGCATTGTAGACATAGGCACTCAGCTCATAAACCTTCCTCTCCACTCTTACACCTGACATCACCATAGGTGACTTCCATGTCTGGAGAATACTAATGATCTAACATCCTGCCTTTTGGTCTCCTGAACATTTTATTTTCAGTAACCTCCACCCCTGTCACTTCAGTCACATAGTCCCAATACTACATCCTGGT